GCTCGGGGTCGGGGCTCTGCCGCCAGCGCCCGCCCTGCGCGCGCTGCCGGCGGACGCGGCCGCCGAGGCGCTGGGCCTGGCGCCGGGGCCGGCCAGGCGCTCGGCTGCCGGCGGCTGCCTGCTGTGGCACGCGCTGCCGGGCGGGGCGGCGGCTGGCGTGCCGCGCGGCGCGCTGGAGGGCCTGACAGGTGTGCTGGGGCTGCGCTCCGGGCACAAGCGCAAGTTGGGCGAGGGCATCAGGCCCAGCGCGGCGTCGGCCGCCTCCAGACTGCGGCTGGGGCGCAGTTTCGTGGACCTGCTGCGCCTGCTGCAGGCAGGGGGGGCGGGTGAGGACGCGGCTGGGGTGCAGCGTGCGGGAGATCCCGAGTTGCCGGGCGCGGCGACGATGGTGTCGGGGCCGCGACTGGCCCTGCTTTCTTACGGCGAGGTGAAGGCCCGGTGCGGTGTGGAGTACTACGAGCGCTGGGCCGGCCTGCGCCGGCACGCCTTCTTCGAGCACTGGATCCCCAAGCCCCCCGCCGAGCTCCACCTGAATGTCAGCGGCCTGTCCCTGTAGCCTGCACAGTCCTGTTTACATGTAGCCCCCGACCATGGTGCTTTCAGATGAAAGCATGGAGGGGGACCGAGAGGGGTTTCAGTGCCGCGCCGGGTGACCCCGCAGCCCCTCGCACTCGCCGCGTCAGGCGGGGACGAGGTGCAGCCGGCGCAGCGCGGCCCCTGCGGCATGCATGGACCCGGTGACCAGGATCACGCCGGGGCCGCCCCCCTCTCGCACCCCGCCCAGCTCCATGCGCGCCCTCTCCACGGCTGCCACCACCGACGGCTGCATCATCACCCGGCCCGGGCGGGGCACTGCAGCGGCAGGGGGAGGGAACGAGGATGGAGCTCCAAGTGTTTGGGGAGCTGACAGTGCAGGGCCAGTCTGAGGGCTGGGTGCTGTGGGCCGGGCCATGGAGGGCAGCCCCGCCTGCTGACCTGTCACGGACCGCATGCACCGCTGGAAAGGCATCCGGGCATGACTTGCAGGGTGTGTCCGCCGACCCTGCCCCCACTCCCCCACGCGCCCGCACCGTTGAACTGCCACGCTGCCATGATTGACCCTGGCGCCATCGCCCGGGCTCCGCTGCCGGCCACCTCCACCTCGGTCGGGAAGACGGCGACGGGGCGCAGCGCACCCAGCGCCGCGCACATGCCGCTGCACGAGGGATGGGGTGGTCGTGGGAGGTGAGCGATGAGCGCAGAGGCCAAGCTAACTCGGCAAAGCTGCAGGGTGGAGAGCACATTGTGCTCGGCCCGGGCAGTCTCTGGACGCAGACATGATCCACTGCAGGCAGGGCAGAGTGCTTTGGGGCCTGTCAGCCTGCACACCCCACATCCCAGATGGTACCTGGCGTCCTTGTCGGCCGCCGCCGCCAGGACGAGCGCGACAGGGGAGGGTTCCGGGAAAGCGCGGCGCAGCGAGGCGGCCAGGGCGGCGCACGCCTCGGGCGTGTGCGCCCCGTCAACGATCAGCACAGGCCCGGCTCTGTGCTCCGCCAGGCGGCAGCGCTGGAATCTGCCGGGCAGCTGCGCGCGTGAGAGGCCAAGCCTCAGGCCTTCCAGGGTCAGGCCCTGCAGAATTCCCTCCGATGCCAGGACGGCCGCTGCCGTGATGGCGGTGGCGGCGTTTGACAGCTGGTGCACGCCCTCCATGCCCAGCTTCATCTCTGTCAAGCGAGTGGGTGGGGAGGGGCGGACGGTTGCTGGGAGGGGAGGTAAGCGCTCATCTTCAAACACCCGGCATCTTCCGCAGTCCCTCCCCTCTCCTGCACCTCAACACATCAGAATGCCACACACGGTGCCCACCTATGCAGTCGCCCTGCTGAAGACCGAGTGCTGCAGCCACCGTGGAGCCAAGGACTCGCACGATGGCAGGGGCAGCTGGATGCTGCTCCCCGCCCCTTGCAAACTCCAGCTCCACCTCGTCAGCCACCTCGATCACAGGGCACCCCAGCCGGTGAGCTGCGGAGCAGGAGCGGAGGGGACCTGGTGTGTGGGGTGACAGGCTGGTCCCAGCCGAGGTATGAGTTGTCATCTAGCGGTGCTCGGGAAACTTCATTGAATGAGAGCTTTGGGCTGCAGGAGGTTTGGATCCTTGCATGTTCAGAGGGTGCAGCAAAAGCACTTGGCCCTGTCCCCCAAGGCACGCTCCTTCACCCAGGAGGCCTGTGGGATCCCCTGTACCATCCTTTCCTCCCAGGTTTAGACTTACTCAGTATCTCTGGCGTCCACCCACACAGTCCACCAAAAAAAGGCCCACAATCTACCACGCACAGGACCCTGCACAGGCTGTTCCCTCGTTTCACTCCCCTTCTGCAGGGGGCCTCACTGCCGTCCCACTGCAGTCCCTCTAATCCACCTGTTCTGACAAAGCACAAGTACACACCTTCTCGCTTGATTTCCTGGTGGGCTTCGTGCAGGGGCTGGGGTGCCAGCACCAGCGGCCTGCCCGCCTTCAAGACCCCGGCCTTGGCGGCCGCCACGCTACGCACGCTGCCCCCCAGTGCGTCCAGGTGGTCTGACCCGATGGGAGTCACGACCGATAGAGCAAGGCCGGCAGGGCGGAAGGCGTTTGTGGCGTCGCGTGCGCCGCCGAGACCCACCTCCACCACCGCGAGGTCCGTGCCGGCGGCCGCAAAGTGGGCGAAGGCCGCTGCGGTCAGGACCTCGAAGTGGCTGGGGGGTGGCAGCTCCGGAGACGCATGGCTGAGCCCCTGGGCGGTGGGCTGGACCGTGACCAGTGCCTGATCCAAATCCTTGGACGTTATGGGCTTGCCATCCATGAGGATGCGCTCATGCAGGGACACCACGTGGGGGCTGGGAGGGGGTGGGGAAGGTGGAAATCACGGTCAAGGGTAAGATCGATGCCCTGGCCCATGGGCCCCCATTGCTTAGCTCTTGAGCAGCTTCAGATGGAGATGCAAACCTCATTCCATGGGCAGGTCTGGTGCTCCAAGCCTGCATGGGCAAGCAGAGCATAACAATCCACCTGGTGTAGCAGCCCGTCTTCAGCCCAGCAGCTGATGCGATCGACGCCAGCATGGTGGCGGTGGATCCCTTGCCCTTTGTGCCTGAGATGTGCACTGCCTGCCACGCGTCCTGAGGATCGCCTAGCTGGGCAAGCAGCCTGTGCATCTTGGTCTGAGGCCACCGCGTCGGTGGGATTGAAGGTGAGGGAGAGAGGGCTCAAAGATGCAGATACGAATGCCCAGTCCTGGCGCACGTACACATTGACATGGCATGCAGTCTGCATCTCACCAGGTCAAAGCCCTTGGATGTGTCGGTACCAGCGCCTGATGGCACGCCCTCGCGCTCGTGATTTCGCAGCGACTCCAGGTATACCATTCCGGGACCCATGGTGGTGCTGAAGCCTGCGCGCCAGTCCACCAAATTTGTGCGCCACAAACGCGCCGAAGCTTGCATAAACATGACAGATCCTAAGGATTCACTCTGATCTCGTCGTCTTCATGGCCTTGGTTACAGCCGGATCAACGTGGAGGCTTAGTGTCTTCGCCGGTGAGAAGACCCCATGACGGCGAGGGACGGGGCAGTGCTCTGATCACTAAATGGAATTTGCCCAATTGCGCGCCAGGTATCCTCGGAAGCGATATGTGTGGCTATCACGAGCAACCACACGTCCTGCATGGGCATTAGCTTTTTGATGATGTGCCTGCTGCGCGGGCTTGGACACCGACGAAGCTTCAACTTTTATGAGTCGTGAATCGTCAGAAGGAAACGCATCCAGGCTCACTCCCTTGTGAAGTCACAATCACCAGGGCATGTCCTGAAGGGCTACTGAAGGAACACCAGTGCAACATGGCACTCATGCGCTCAACACCGGGCGGTCCTCGCCGCTCCATTCCCTGGCTGATCTACCACGCCGGGGCGATGGCGGCATTCATGTACATTCTGCTACAGGCAGCTCAGACATTGACAAAGGACATGGGCGCGGCTATCCAGGAGAGGCAATCAGCAAGGTCGAGATCCGAGCTTCAGGTTCAGGCCAACACTGGACAGGTACATCATGAAGTCCCTATATGAAGTTGATTGATGCATTTGTATCACACCATGAATCGGGAGCTGCATCGGTGTATATGCCCGCACCCACAGGATCGTCATTCACTGTGGACACCTTCACCTGAGAGGGACGCCAAGGATCCTGAGCTGGCAGCATTCCTGCGCAAGGTACGGCTGTTGCCAGGATACCGTTATCCTGCAGATGCAAGCTGCACTCCCTGTAAGCTGGTGCTGGTGGCGCTCCCTGTGGTGCAGGGCGCTTGCCCAGAATCAATGACACCAGTTTCTTCAAGCGCCCCAAAACTCCTCGGCCCCTCCACTACACGCAGGTCGCGATTAAAAACGAGGTGCTCATGGCTGTGAGCAACATCAACTACGCAAGGAAGGGTGGCATGCTGGACATGTGGATCCAGAATGTGAGTTGGCAAGCGGCAAGTGGAGAATAATGTGCTTCTTGGTCATGGTGAGCACTCCTGTCTGAGGACAACAAACTCCCTCTTGTCTGGTCCCAGGTGCTGCGCGCCGGGGTCAAGAATGCGATGGTGCTGGCGCTGGACGACGAGACCAAGAAGAATGCGGAGGAGATGGGCATGGCCGCCTTCCGCATGCAGCTGGAGGTGGGGTGGGCTGCAGAGCGGGGAAAGGGGGGGGGGGCCGCTGGGCTGATGGGAGGGGTCCTCCTGTTTCCCAACGACTGCACAGGATGCCTACCACTTTCACATGACATGGATTGAGGAGGAGGGCCACTGTCACCCACATGCCCTTCCCAGCTGAGCCCAGCCACCAGCTGGTTTGGTGGGGTGTCGGTGGGCAGGATTCAACCCCACAATCAGCACCGCCATTCCGTAGATTCCCAAGGCACAACAAGGCAACGGCGACAACCATGCGGTTTCAGCGATGAAGTTCCGCATACTGAGCCACTTCCTGGAGCTGGGCTACTCTGTTTTCCTCTCGGGTGAGTGGAGTGACCTCTGTGCACAGGCGGACCCAGCATCTCCCCTGCATTCTGACTGCTGTGTGCCAAGAACACGCAGCAAGGTGTGTTACCAAACCTGCGCTGCCACAAACTCCTCCCCTTCCTCCCAGATGTGGACATCATCACCCTCCAAAACCCCTTTGGCTTCCTGGCACGTGACTCGGACGTGGAGTCCATGAGCGATGGCTGGGACGCCGCCACCGCCTATGGCTACAACGATGTCCTGGGTGGGTTCCGGGGCTGGGCGTGGCAACGAGTGCATGGGGTGGTGAGAGTCAGGAGGGGCGCTTTAAAAGAGGATGTGAATCGAACCAGTACGCCGGGAATGCAAGGAATGTGAGCACGAGCATGAGCCTGCGCTGGTATCTCCTTCCATTGTACTCGTGGGCGAGCACTCCTGCTCGCTTCCATGGACGCATCCCTGCACACCTCCAGACGACGAGGAGATGGGTTGGGCTCGGTATGCCCACTCCATGCGCGTCTTTGTCTTCAACAGCGGCCTGTTCTACATCCGGTGCGTGGGCGGTGGCTCACTGCCACGACTTGTGACTTGGCTTGGGAGGAGGATGTGCACCCCAGTTCCAATCCTGCTCTGTCCTTCTTGCCTGGAGCAGACCCCCTGGCATCACCCATGCAAGCCCCCTCGCCCAGCCCAGTCCCAAGCCCACGCCCCCCCTTCCTCCCCTGGTACAGGGCCACCCAGGCCTCCATGGACCTGCTCAACAAGGTCATCCACCGCGTTGAGACGGAAAACGGCTGGGACCAGGCCCTGTTCAACGAGTGCATCTTCTTTCCCTCCCACCCGGGCTACAAGGTATGGGGAGGGGGGGTGACCAGGCAGGCAGCGTGCGCAGGGTGCTGAGCATGCCTTTCGTAGAGGTGCTGAGCCTCTCTGTTGCGTAGATTGTTTGGAAAGATGCAATGATGGGCGACGGGTGCATGGAACTACACTATGGGGTCCATTGCACTGCACATGCCGATGTCCCACCTCCCCGGTTCTCCCCTCCTGCTCCCCCTCCAAAGGACCCCTCTGTGACACGAAGAGTTCTTGACTTCGAGCTCTTCATGAACTCCAAGACGCTGTTCAAATTCCTACGGTACAGCGGCCAGAAGTATATCGACCACCGCCCCGTCATGATCCACGTCAACTACCACAGCAGTACGTTGGCTGTGGCTCGTGGGTGGCCAGGGCCGGCCGGTGTGGAGCCATGGATGCTTGCATGACTCCTGCCACACCCCTCTTCCATTCCCCCCCTTGGCAGATAAGTTCGAGCGCATGGGTGCCGTCGTGAAGCGATACGTGGATGGCGATCTCAAGGCCCTGGATGACTTCCCCGTGAGGTCGTGAGGTGGCGGGGTGGCCTTCTGGCCAAAGTCATGCTCGTGGCAAGGAGTCCAGAGTCGGGGGATCTCGTGCCTGCACGCAAGGCGGGCTCCAGACCGCAGACAAAGCCTGGGGCTCGTATGCGGCATGTGAATAGTCTACGAAATCATCCCTGTCACTGGCTGTCGAAACCATGCGCTGCCTTTATGTGTTTTACTTACGTCGCAGCACTGGTAGATGGGGCCAAACCATGAAGGGCGAGGTATTCGTATGGGGACTGCAGCATTCGCTTGCGACGGGGTAGGAGGTCGGCGGTCGAGTGCGGGTCTGAGGTAGTTCATGGCACGAGTCTGGTCTGGCGCAAACCCTCCGTGGGCGGCCGTTCTAAACCCATCCTATCATTACGCTTTGCATGTGTCTTGCACTCATGCATCAAGCGCATCGCAGCCTCATACGCTGTTGACACCAGCTCAACACACGTTTTTCGCACCCCAGACGTGCTTTACTTCGAGTATCTTGATCCGGGCGACCGGATGCAGTTCTCGTTCAGATCGATGCACTCACAGTGCATCGAGGTAGCTTCCTGATCCCTAATCGGCTCATAGGGTCATCCGGACGCTGAGAAAGTGAGTGCTCGAATCTGCTCCTTATTTGGGGCACAGATCCTGGAAGTCTGTTGTAGTATCCCAAAGTAGCGCGGATTCTGCTGGTGTTCATGCCCTTATTACTACTTAAAGCACCCAGTAATATGATCTTTTGACGATGCCTGCCAATCAAGATTATCAGACCTCCCAGCAGCAGGGATTCCTACTCGCTGCATGGACGTGCATTCACTGCAATCAGGTCACGCAGGCATCTGACTCCCATACCTGTATGAGATAACGCCATCCCTGATATCGACACTGCCACCCTCGCTCCTTACACTGATAAGCCTCAGGTAGTGCCGAGAAGTATGAAGAGCCATAGATTACGTTCGATCAATGATACTCACATTTGTACAATCTGATGCATACTATACCATACTCAAAAGTTTGCAGGGAAGCCGAGCCAAAAAGGAGATTCAAACGGTGGTATTACTTAATATCCTACACGTCGGTATTGTCACGACTGAGTCATCGATAGAAGATTGGTTTTGCGACGTCTGTCTGTGGATGCGCTGAGGTGTAGGTTCATGGTACGTCACTCCTGTGAGGAAAGGAGGGCCGAAATGTTTGTATTGTGAGTGATTCCCCCGGTCCAACCATCAAAATACCATGCGTCGAAGTATCCGTCGGTGAGTGAGAACCTCAGCGCAAAAGAAAAGTTGCAATGGTTTTGGTGTTAGGAGGCTGTGTGCATCTTCGGTCGTAAACCCGCCAGGGGAAGTCGCAATGACGACCATCCGGGACAGGTGTCCGGCCGGTAGGCTTGGACCCTTTCAGCACCCAGTTCGAGCCCTGGCACTGGGCATGTGCTCTTTATTCCTTCTTTGCGTCCTGGTTCCAATCAAGTTCAACTCTCGAGATGGGTACGCGTTGGACCTGCCGCCACTCTTTAGAACCTCTTCGTCGACCGTCACAGAACACCACAATGTACGGGGTTTCACCCACGAGTTCGACGTGACCAGCGCCATCCTTTTAATTCATCGCATTGCTTTTCTAAGGATTTCACAAGGGCCCCCAGATACTCTGCTCCCGGGCGTTCCCTACCAAGTCCTAACCCTGTGTGCAGGGAAGGCACACACTTGAGCGTCCATCAAGAGAAAAGACACTGCAGTACCCTGGGCTGGCGGCGGCGCTGAAGAAGGTACGTGCCTGGTATGAACATGCAGGGTCGAGCCTGCCCCATGGCCTTGTGGCCCGGCGCATGTTTGGCATGGAGCAGCTCACCTGCCCACCTCTCTGCCCCTCGCAGGTTGCCATCAACAATGAGGTACTGGTGGTGATGTCCGACCGTCGCTATGCGCACAACGACACTATTCTAGACCTCTGCATTCAGAGCGTGAGCTGACAGTAGTGTGGAGGGATTCGCAAATCACAGCTCCACCACCCAGGCACAGCCTACTATTGCTTATGCCTGCCCAAGTCCGTCGCCAGCGGTGAGGGGGCAGGTCTCTACCTGAACCTTCACACTTGTTCCTTTCTCTCCCACTCGCAGATCAACCGAGTGGGCGTGAAGAACGCTCTGGTGCTCGCCTTGGACAACAAGACCAGGGACTTTGCGGAGGGCCGGGGCATGGCCGCCTTCATGATGAAGCTGCAGGTGAGTGCACGAGCATGGAGGGCAGCATTACCTCACCCCGTGCAGCTCCCTCCATTCTCCAGCCAGCTTCAAACATCCCCCATCCCTCTGCGCACCCAGGCACCAGAGAGCCAGCAGCCGGGTGGAGCCCGTACTATGATCGGGGCCCTCAAGTTCCGCATCATGGCTGCCTGCCTTGATTTGGGGTACTCTGTGCTCTTCTCAGGTGGGACACCAGCGGGTTCACAGTGCGCAGACCCCGTCGAGACAGGGTTGCCCTGTGTGGGGGGGCGCCCACGACCCCACACCCGCCCACACCCCCAGGGCCCCACAATCAACCCCTTTCCTTTGGCGCAGATGCCGATGTGTTGGTCCTGCAGAACCCGTTCTCCTTCCTTGTGCGAGACTCCGATGTGGAATGCATGACCGACGGCTACGATGTTAGGACGGCATACGGCTTCCAGACCTCCCTGAGTGAGCGATCCTGCATGCCCATGCCTGTGGGCCTGTTCCGGTCGCGACTCGCGAGGGCAACCCCTAGCCAAGGAACAGGGCCAGGGGCTCTTCAGCTGCCGCCGGCTAGGTTCCCCGGTGATCCCACCCGCCCCATTCCCGCTCTTGTGCATCCAGGGCATGATGAAATGGGGTACGGCAGCGACGCCGTCCTTCTCAACCTTGTGGTGCTGAACGCAGGCTTCATCTACGTCAGGTGTGGACTTGACTGGGATGGGAGGAAAGGGGGGGGGGGGGAGGGTTGAGAGCTCTTAGGGCAGCATGGGATGAGGGCCGCTGCATGCCGTCATCCATTACCTCGGCAGATGCCCAGCACCCCTCCTCATGCTGATCGTTTGTGAACCCCACCCTCATCACTGAGAAAAGCTGTCCTCACTCGCAGAGCGACCGAGGCTTCCAGAGATTTGATGTCGCTGGTCGTCCGCCGGGTGGAGACAGAGAATACCTGGGACCAGACCATCCTCAGCGAAAGCGTGTTCCTACCTTCCACCCCGACGTACAAGGTGTGATGGGGGCCTGGCCTGCGGCTGCTGGGGCTGGAGATGGTTGAGGGCCCAGCGGGCCTATACTCAAGGTCACACTGTCCCCCCCTTGAGAGATTGGGTTGTTTACCTCCCAGTACCAGCTGAGCGTACCCGGGCACCCCTCCCACACGCCACGCTCCCCTGGCATGGTGCAGTCCCCCGCAGTGACTTCCCGGATAATGGACTACGAGCTCTTCCTCAACTCGCTGACCTTGTTCCGGGAGCTGCGCCACACCGGCCAGCACTACACCGACTTCCTGCCGGCCGTGGTCCACGTCAATGCGCACACCGGTGCGAAGGAGAGGGGGGTGAGGAGAACCATGTTGCCTCTCCACAGTGCAGCCACTCCGCCCCAGGGACGTGTGCACAGGTGTGCATGCCACTTACTCCTCCCCCCCGTCCCATGCCCTCCCCCCCCGCAGACAAGGCAGAGAGGATGGAGGCCATCGTTGACCGGTACGTGAAGGGCAACTTCACCGCCCTCGACCACTTCCCCCTGGGATCGGCGCGCTGACGGCGGGGCCCGGCGACGCACTGATTGCGGCGCAAGCACCGCAGTCCTCAGGGCCGGCTTCCCCAGTGCGGCTGCTGCTGCCGGCCGTCTTTCTTCCAGGGACCTCGCCCTCGGGCGTCCCATGGCCTGTTCAAACCAGGCCCCAAACCACGTTGGCGCAAGCGCTCTTGTCTCCCTCCTTCACATGCCCCCTTGAAACTCCCACTCAATCCTCTGCTCCTTGCCCCTGCTCCACTTGCCTTGCCTCGACTCTGTGACAGCAGCGCCGCCCAGGAGGCGGCATGCGCATGCGCATCGCACACACCTCGCCTTTCAAACCCTCCAGACACTGATGGTGCCGTCGGCCGACCCCGTGGCCACCGCGTCCTCCGCCAGCCACACCAGGGTCCGGGGCACCGCGCCCGCTGCCAGCCCCGGGCCCGCCCGCGCGCCAGCGCCGTCGAAGACGTGCAGCGTGCCCGCGTCGTCCACCACGGCGGCGCGCCGCCCGGCGGGGCAGGTCGCCAGCGCTGCCCGCGCGCCGCGCGCCGTGGCCGCCGCCTCGGACCCCCAGGCGTGCCCCGCCACGGCGCCCCCGGCCGCCCCCCCGCCCCGCGCCTCGCCCACCTCTACCATCTCGGCCAGCTCGCCGGCCTCGGCGGCACGCAGTAGCCCATCGGAGGTGAGCAGCGCGAAGCCGCGGCCCATCCAGCGCAGGGCCACGGGCGCGGCGGCCAGGTCGTCGCGCGTGGCCAGGGGCCCCGTCAGCGCGCCGCCCACCCACCCGGCGCCGCCGCGCGCCACGTCCCAGGCCATGAGCCGCCCCTCACGCCGCTCCCCGCTCCAGTGCCCCGTCACCAGGGTCTGCGTGGCGGGGGCATGGGCTCCACAGCCGCCCGCTGCCGCCTGGGGCGACAAGAACGCGCACAGCGTGGCCTGCCCAGACTCAGGCGCGACATCGGCGCGCAGCACGCCGGACTCGGCCTCCCACACCCGGCACCGCGCCTCGCCCACGGCGGCGAGCAGAGCGCCGTCGGGGGAGGCAGTCAGGCCGGCGGGCGCGCCTGGGCCCGGGCCGGGCAGGTTCAGGCGCGGCGGCGCGGCTAGGTCGCGCCACACGCGCACCGCGCCGTCCGACCAGCTGCCGGCCAGCTGCCCGGTGTCGTGAAGGAAGCAGGCGCGTACGGGGACGGGCGCCGGTGCAGCGCCGGGAACAGTCAGCCGCGCCGCCAGGGCCAGCGCCGGGCGTGGCACGCCCGCGCTGCTGGCCAGGCGCCAGACCGCCAGGCTGCCGTCCTGGGAGCAGGAGGCGAGCAGGCCGGCACGCGCGTCGTGCGCCAGCGAAATCACGCGCCCGGCATGGGCCGCAGGGGTTTTACCCAGGCAGGCCCCCGTCGCGGGGCACCACAGGCGCAGGCTCCCGTCGGCGCCCCCGCTGGCGAGCAGGGTTGTGGGGGGGGATGCCGGCGCTGCCTTGTCGCCACCCCTTGAAGCCTGGCGGGCGGCAGAGTGCAGTGGGATGAGGGTGGGGCGGCTTGCATCGGGAAGCTGCTCTCGCAAGGTGGCCTCACCCTTGGGCGGCAGGGCAGCAGAGGTCAAGCAGCCGCAAGCTTGGACATGTGTACCCCTGCCTGCCCCTCTTGGCGGTCCTCCTGCCGACCCCTCACCCCTCCTCCAACCCCCCTCGCACGATGCGACGGTCCCTGCAAAGCTGCAGCCCCTTGAGACGCACATCACCCTCCTCCCCCAAACCCATCACCCAACCGCACCGGCAGCGCAGCCAGGCAGGTCACGGCGCCCTCATGGCCGCAGCACAGCGCACGCCTTGCGGCCCGGGTGGCCACTTTCGCCAGCTCGGCGCGGGCGGGCGCCAGGTCGGCCGCCAGCCCGGGGTCCAGCTCCAGCGCGCGGGCGTAGGCCGCCGCCGCGGCGGCGTGGTCCCCCACCGCGGCGTGCGCTGAGCCCGCCCGCACGTGGCCTTTGGCCCAGCGCGGGCGGCGGGCCAGGGCCAGCTCGGCGGCACGCACCGCGGCGGGGGCGTCCCCCGCGCGCAGGGCGCAGAGCGACAGGTTGGCAAGCGCCGGCGCGGGGTCGGGGGGCAGGAGGGCCAGGTGGGCGCGATAGGCGGCTGCCGCCCGGGCGTACTGCCCCTCCCGGCACAGGGCGTCCGCCTGAGCCTTCAGCAGGCTGGGGTCCGGGGCAGCCACGCTCGCCATGCTCGCTGCGGCGAGCTCGGTGCCGTGGCCGATCAAAACCTAGCGAGGAATCAGTGTAGCGCGGGTGTGTCGGGTGAGAGGGATATGTCGGCACGAGTCCTACAACCTCCGCACTTGCTACCGTTGACCCAGAGCTTTGCACTGAGTACTCATGGACCCGGATGGGGTGCTGCCCTTCTATACCGAATTCCAATTCCTAAGGCTGTGAAGCAGGTCGTGCTGGATACGTCTGTGCACGTTCGACAATGACCCGCAAGCGACTGCTTGAGAAACGACCATGCACGCTGTCATCGTAGATCAGACTCCATACCGAGCCATGGCCAGGTCGACAGCAGAACACTTCTAAGGTTCTCTTTCCATGGTATGGTGGTGTTCAAAAACACCAGTGAGATCGAGGGTTAAGGCGTTCAAGCGCGCTCGCCACGGATGCGACGGGCCAGCTGGATGTCCTTGGGCTGGATGGTCACGCGCTTTGCGTGGATGGCAGCCAGGTTGGTGTCCTCGAACAGGCCGACCAGGTAGGCCTCGGCGGCCTCCTGCAGGGCCAGCACGGCGGAGGACTGGAAGCGCAGGTCGGTCTTGAAGTCCTGGGCGATCTCGCGGACCAGGCGCTGGAAGGGCAGCTTGCGGATCAGCAGCTCCGTGGACTTCTGGTACTTGCGGATCTCGCGCAGGGCGACGGTTCCGGGCCTGTAGCGGTGAGGCTTCTTCACTCCTCCCGTCGCGGGGGCGGACTTGCGAGCGGCCTTGGTGGCCAGCTGCTTGCGGGGGGCCTTGCCACCGGTGGACTTACGGGCGGTCTGCTTGGTGCGGGCCATGGCTGCGGTTACTTCTTTGCAATTGTAGGTTTATAGGCTTGCAAGCATGTATACAGCCCCATGTCCATGCCTGAACGTGTTTGTGCCTCCCGCAGTGGATCGTCGTTCTTTCCCACGCTTTCTAAAACCCCTCTTGGATTGGTGAGCTCCCGGCCTGTGCTCATAAGATAGAGTCTTGAGGCAAACACCGTAATTAATTAGCCCGTATCCTTCCCTATCAAGAAAATTAACCTCCTGCAACCATGTCTGGGCGCGGCAAGGGCGGAAAGGGCCTGGGAAAGGGCGGTGCCAAGCGTCACAGGAAGGTGTTGCGCGATAACATCCAGGGCATCACCAAGCCCGCCATCCGTCGCCTGGCCCGCCGTGGCGGTGTCAAGCGCATCAGCGGCCTGATCTACGAGGAGACCCGCGGCGTGCTCAAGGTGTTCCTGGAGAACGTCGTGCGCGATGCCGTGACCTACACCGAGCACGCCCGCCGCAAGACCGTGACCGCCTTCGACGTGGTCTACGCCCTCAAGCGCCAGGGCCGCACCCTGTACGGCTTCGGCGCCTAAGAACCTCGCCACCAAAACAAACCTGGTGTTATTAGACACCACCACCCTGGAAGTTGAAGGCTGACACCTGGCTGTTACGCGTCCAAAGCCAAATTCTATTGGCAACGTGCATGGCTACAGTGCAACATTCGCTGCATTACTTAGGGGGTGCATACCCGCCAGTCCTGCAGAGGCTCTCCTGCGTGGCAGGCCACGACGCCATCAATCATCAAACCTGATGTGGCGGCCCTGAGGAGTGGCAACACCCTTCAACTTCGGTGCGGGCTCAGGTCCGGCCATAGGCTTCACCTCGTCGTCCTCGTCAAACCTGTTGGGTACACCACAGAGGCATGCTTTGGGCAACCATGCCATGGCTTTAAATGGTAACACAGCTCTCGCCCCTCATAAGATACCCTCCCAAGGCATTCCAGCCGTCCCACCTGATGTGTGTTCCCACAGGGGTGGGGACGCCCCGCAGCTTCGCCTCGGGCCCCAGCTCAAGCCCGGCGAGAGCGGAGGTGAGGTCCTCTGCACCAGCCTGCTCCTCCTCCTGGACCAGTTTTGAAATGGGGTCCAGGGTTCAAGAATTGATGGCACAGCTCTGATGGCACTTGGTTATGATCATTCGACCTCGCGCAATGCTCGCCAGGCAAGGGAGGGACACCGCAGCATTGTATGAGGGCAGCCTGCAAACTCCACACTTACCCAAGCCTCCTCCTCCCCGTAGGCATCGTACTCCTCCTCCTCCTCCTCCTCTTCTTTCTCAATTTCGTCCTCACAGTCTTTGGGAGCGTCCTCCTTCGCCTGAGAAGCGGAGGCAGCCATGCGGGCCGCGACCTCCTTCTTCAGCTGGCGCAAGGACCTGGCGGGGGAATGCATTGTGGGATTTGGGGTGAGCCAAGGGGCATGCCCGAGTGTTCTCGGTGGCTGAAAACTCCGGCTCAGCTCTGAAGGAAGACGCATGCTGCGGGGAACATGGTCCTGCCGGCCCCACAACTACCACCGGCCACTCCCATGTCCTGCCCAGGTTTTCAAACCTGGAATCGAAGCCGGAGCTGGGGACAGACACCTTGGAGGCCACACGTGGGCGCCCCTGCGGCAGCACGGCATCGGTGCCTGCCACGGTCGCAGCCAGGAGCGGCGGGGTGTCCTCAGCGCCTTCCTCCTCGATGGTTTGATCCCCCAGCTCCTCCACCTCCCTGGCCAGGGCGCTGTTGACCGCAGTGGCTGCCTGCGGTGAGGCAGCGGTCGGGGGCTCGCGCTCTGCCGCGCCAGCAGCCGCACCGGCGGCGATGAAGAGGATTGCGGGGCTGAGGCCAGGCATACCGGCGGCAGCCGTGCCGGCGGTGGCAGGCGTGCCGGCGTTACCATTGGGCGTGTCGGCGCTCGCCTTTGTCCCGCTCCCCAGTGGGCTGGGGAAGGCAGGGGCAGCCTCCTCCTGCTCGGGGCTGGCGGGAAAGGCGCTGGCGGAGCTGGGCCCAAGCACGGTAACAGTTCGGGGTCCCATGGGTGGGGCAGACGCCGGCGCGGGGCTGGCTGAGTCCACTCCGGGGCTGGCCGAGTCCACCCCCGGGCTGCACGCCACGGCAGCAGCGATGGCGTCGCCGACCGAGATTGACGCGCAGGGAGACTCGGGGGGTGTGGAGAAATCGCAGGGAGACAGTGTCCCCACCGGGGAGAAGTAGGCCGAGGTGAAGGGGGCGGGGGCGAGGGTGGGGGCAGACACGACTGGTGTTGCCTCTACCAGGGCATCCTCACTGCCACCTAGGACCTGAGGAGCGTGTCGTGCAGGGAGAGAGGCACGCTGATGTGGGAGAGATTGAAGAGCAGGCTCATGTGGAACCACATCTTGGGAATACACCTCCCCCATGACCACAGCTGTCGCACAGATGGGCAGGTTGCACAGGAAAGCAGCGGCAAAATTCTTCTTTTACCAGCATACCCTGCCTAAGATTGTGGCCCACCTTTGCAGCTGCCTTCAGGGCCGTTTCTACCCCTGGGAGGGTGCCACTCGGGAGCAGACCATGGGCAGGGGTGGGCTGCGGGGTACGTCCCTGGTGCTCTGTGGGGGCCTGAGGCACCCCGGGGGTCACAGGGGGGAGGGAGGACAGGCCAAGCCCAGTGGGCGTGGGACCGACCTCGGGCACCGTCTTCTCGGTGACGCTGGGGGTCTTGGTCTCCCATCCTTCCTCCTGCAAGGGAAATTCTGGATTGGGTTGCGGTGGTAGGGCTCATATGGTATGATTCGCGACAGGTGGCAGCACCGAGCAGTATGACATCTAATCACGCCATGCACCACCTGTATCTCGGTGTTCGTGATGTCGAACAGGACAGCGGGGGGGCAGTCGGTGACGCCGCGGCGGGTCGCCTTGCGGCCCGTGCGAGTCGTGGCAGGGGCATCGGTGGGAAGCGCCGCGAAGCCCGCTGCATGATGGATCCATCAACGAGATAAACTAGATCTTACTGTTCAGATACTGGTATGGAATGGTTTCGGCAATCAAGGCAACTTCCCCGCAGGATATCCTACACCGGACCCACTCACGGGTCTGGCCATTCTGTGTGGCGATCCTCGCCCTACTGCGCGTCACTCTACTCTCGCTGTACATGGTGAAGCAGGATGCGTTGCTGGAAAAGATTTGACTGTGAATGTGAATTGAGACAACAGCCGGCGGGGGGCATTTTTGAACATTTGTACCGCCTTCGGGTGATCATGGATGTCCCGCAGCAGGCGCTGCATGCGCGGGCCGATCTCAAACATCGACAGAGTAGCACAGGTGCCGGGTGCAGCTTCAGCGTCGTGGGACGACCTAGAATCCACCGAGAACGCTCGCCAAAAGGTTGCATTAATCAATCCAGGGCGTTAATGCCCAAGGGCTGGCCATGCTCGCCCGCGTGATCGAGCTGCATCAAGTTGATGCGGGCTGGGAGATGGTCCACCTGGGCCTCCAAGAAGTTGGCACTCACAAAGCACCCCTTGGCCCCATCACCCCCCTTCATGAGATCATGAATCGAGTCAGGGAGGCAACGTTAGGCACAGGTACTGGCATGGGCTGCTGCCATGCTCCGTGCATATATTGCATCTCAAGGCAAGGGCAGTGCAGGTCAGGGGTAAGAGAGCACACGCCAATGCTCTCAGGCCTTCCACTCGCAGTGTCGGCCTGCGAGGAGCCCAGCCCCATGTGTACCCTGCTGCCTCTCCCCGAAGCCGCGCTGGAGTGTCTGGCTTCGTGTGACCCCGAGGGCCTACGCGTCGGGCAAGAGGAGGAGAAGACGCCGGTGCACAATCGAGGCCTCCGATCCATCTTCCTCCAGCCCGAGAGCAGCAGGCCCACCGACGAGTCGAAGGCTGACGCCCCACGAGTGGACCTGATGTCAGAGGACTCTGCTGCGAGGGACGAGCCTGCGGACCTATCAGACCCCCTCCCCAAATCACTGCCGGCGGAAGCCGAGGGAGGTCTCTGTCTATTCGAATTTCCTGCACCAGTGGAAAATATTGCAGTCTGTTCAGGTGGGACGGGTTTGAGTGGCAAGTCATTGCGTTCCCACCAACGTCGCGCAGTACTTCACTTGGCGTGTGGCTGGTGCCCTTGATTGGGCCTCAAGTCCCTGCACAGACAGGAGAGTGTCGCATCAACCTGCGCTGTCATCACCCTCAGCTCTTCGCTCCCCATTCAGGGCACAGCCCCAACTCTGGCGGACATGGCTTTGAGTATGACGTTTTCACCCAGGCGACCCTCACCCCAGGACCGCACGCCTGGGCAGGTGGGTTGAGGCCGCACGCTCTCAGGAACATGCTTTGCTACAGCTATTCCGGAGGAACCTGTCAGGGTCTTCGGGATCACGCAAAGGGGTAGCATCGGGCCAACGTTCAGTAGATCTCCGACAGCATTGCAGCTTCATCCCTCTCTGCGATTCCCCATCTGCAGCTGGGACGCTGGCTGACAGCGAATGCCTTGCAGAGGAGCCGAGGAGAGGTGCGGCACCGCCCCTGGCTGTCGCTGTTCCAGCTCCCCCCTCCTGGCATGCCCAGCACAGGCTTGAGGCGCCAGCAGCGCACCAAGCCGCACACGGAGACAGCGCCCTGCCAGTGGTTTCTCATTGCAAAGGAGTCCCTGTGCCGGCGACGAATGCGGGTGACCCTCTCTCAGTCCAGCCAGAGGGCTCACACAGCGGAAGCACGCTTGGCGTCTCGGCCGGAGGAGGCACCACCCGTGCCAGGCCGGCGTCAACACGCGCGAGTCCCGCCCCCTGCAGCGCCAAGAAAGCACGGCCTGGCGGTCGGTGTCTGGCCACCGACCTCGTTGCCGACCTGAGGTCGCTCATGAGGGAGGGAGGCGACGAGGGGCCGCCAGCAGTGGCACAGTGTCGTATTGCTCCTGGCGGGACTGGAGCAGCATGCGTACCCCCCAACACATCAAGACCTTGCGAGGCCAGCGCCTCGGGGGCAGGTGCACTCCCTGAGCCCAGCCAGTGGACGCAGGGGCCCGACCCTGGCGCCCTGGAGAGCTGCCTGGAAGCTGCCGAGGCTGCAGCAGCGCTGGAGCGTGGCCGGGCCGTCCATCCTGGGTTCACAACGGGCCTGGGGGCGGCGGTCAGGGTGTCCAGTGCCAACCTGGCGGCTGCGCGGAAGCTACTGGAGGAGGACACTCCCGCGTCGGAGCAGGGTCCCACGCGCACCTCGGCCGCCGCGGCAGCGGCGGCTCCGGTCCTCGTGGCAGGGTTCAGCACCGGAGCAGGGGCTCCCGTGCACGTCTCCGCTGGACGCCTGGAGGCCGCGAGGTGGCTGTTGGACGAGACTGAAGGTGCGGCGCCCGCCGCCGCCGACCGGCAGGGAGGGCCCATCGGCGAGGGCCTGGTTGAACACAGCCCCACGCCCGGCTTCACGACGGGGCTGGGGGCGCCGGTGGCCGTCACGTCGTCCCGCCTCGAAGCCGCCAGGAAGCTGCTGGCCGAGGAGCCACCCGCCGCCAAGGAGCCGTGCCCCGCCCCCGCCACCGTGGCGGCGTGCTTCAGCACGGGGCTAGGCAGACCGGTGAGCGTGTCGCCGTCGCAGCTGGCAGCTGCGCGGAAGCTGTTGACCGAGGACCCACCCCAGGCCGGCAAGACCGCAGACCCAGCGCCGCCGGCCGCCGGCCCCTCCTCGCCCATGGTGGGGTTCAGCACGGGGCTGGGCACGCCGGTCGCGGTGTCCAGGAAGCGTTTGGAAGCCGCCAGGAAGCTTCTCACCGACGAAGACGGCGCAAACGAGGGCCACCCGGCCTCGGCCTTCCCGGGATCCAGTCCGGCCGGACAGCCAGATACGCCCAGCCTCAGGGTCAGGCCGCCTGCACCGGGCGAGGGCCCCGGCCCCGGCGAGACGACCCCCTGCGCCAACACGAGCCACCAGCTGCTGAGTCCAGGGTCCACCGGTCTCCGCTGCGGGCCCGGGCCCGGGCGGGCCCGCTCTGGTGGGGTGCAGCCCTCAAGGTTTGTCTTGGCATGAGGCATGGTAGGGATGGGGAGAGAGGACACATCTGAATCCATTTGAACTATTAGAAACGGCCAGCCTGTGCTAGACCCTGGGTTATGCCCTGGCCGCCGCTTCCTCGCCGTGTGCGCACGGCTCCCCAGGTCTGTCCCACTTGCTTCCATCCTCCATCCTCACGCCCCTGCAACCCGCAGACTGGGGGCCGGCGGGATGACGCCCTCCACCTCCGGCCCAGGCATCAAGCAGCGCAAGAAGTTCCAGACGCCGCGGAGCCTGGTGAGGCGGCGGGGCTTGGGGGGTGGAGAACGGGGGGGGGGGGGCACTTTACGAAGCCGTGCGGTGCCCTGAACAAAGTGTGCCTTCCCTTTCCAAGCGCACGCCTAGCAGGCCCAGCGACCGGCACTGGGTGCGGTTCCCACGCCCAGACTCAAACCTTGTCAGTTTTGTGACTCCCCCCCAAACCAACCTTCCAGGGTCCACTGGTGCGCCCCCGGGCTGCCCCCAGCGCACCCACAGCAGGCACCCCCGACCTGCCGCGGGCCAGGCTGCACCGGCTGGGCAGGACGCTGATGGCGCAGGCGGCTGAGGCGATGGCGGTGCCTCCCGGCCAGGCCCCCGACGCGCAGCCGCCGGCCTCGGAGCCCGGCGAGGCGCTGGACGCGGCCGGCGCCCAGGCTGCGCTGCTGGACGCCGGGGCTGTGGCCGCCCATGCCAGCCTGGACTGGGTGGCCAATGCCCTGCGAATGGTCGCCTGGAAGACAGGCAGGGTGGAGGCCGTGCTGGGGGAGGGCGCGGCTGGGAGGCTGCAAACCAGGGCAATGATTCTTGACGCCCTGCGGCGACGGTGCGGGGGGCGGTTGGGGGGGCAGGGGAGCATGGTTTGGGCATTCACCATCAGGGACATGCCACCACCTGCACAAACCCCAGGGTGGTTTGCAGATGCCAGAAGCACGGGGTATCCCCACGTCGGGCGGTGCACACGCCGGCACCACTCCCACCCTTTCTCCCTCATCCACCACCAGGTACGAGCTGGAGTTTGGCAGGGGGCGCTGCCCTGTGCTCAAGGCCGTGCTGCAGCACGACGAGCCGGCGGCGCAGTGCATGGTGCTGGCGGTGATGCGGGCCACCCCCGGCGACGCCGCGGTGCGCTCTGGGGCTTGAAAGGGTGGAACAAAGTGCCAGTAGTAGGATGGAGTGAATCCAGGCGGGGGAATGATGTGTGGTCCAGGGCTAAACTGACGGGCCCGGCAGGCATGCCATTGCCACAGCAGATTGCAGGCTGCGCCGGCCCATGCAGTCCCCACCCCTTCATGTACCTGCTCCGCAGGTGGAGCTCACAGACGGGTGGTACCGGATCTGGGGCCGGCTGGACGCCCCGCTCGCCGCGCTGTGCTCGTCTGGCAGGATCGCGCCGGGGTCAAAACTCCGCATTTGCGGCACCACCCTGCAGGGCGCAGGGCCAGGGGACCCGCTCACGGCGGCCGCCACCTCGAGTCTGCAGCTCTGCATCAATGGGACGCACAGGTGAGTGCATGTGTGGCAAAGTGGGAAGAAGGGATGGAGACAGCGCGGTCCAGCATGTCGCTCTTTGCATGGAGGCAGGGAGTCTCCTCACCACTGAGACTGCGGCTGCCCCGCACTCCCTACGACAGGGCGCCTGACAGCTGCCGGCTGGGCAGGCAGTGGCACCGGTCAACCCTGCTCCCCCTGAGTCTCGTGGACCCGGGGGGGGGCGCCATACCCCGGACCCTGGTGGTGGTGCAGAGGTGGGCTCCGAGCAAGGGCCTGCAGGCTTGGGTCGCGGGGACGTGCCCGCCGGTGTATGGAGCCGTCCCGCCCTGCACGGCTGTTGGGTGGATGGCAGCCTGGATGCGTGTTCTGCTGGTTACGTCGAACCTGATCATCTGGTCACGCACACCTTCCCCCACTTGGCACCAGCTGGTGCGCCACATTCCTCCTCCCCCTGTCCCCGCTGTTCCCTCGCCCCCTTCCCACTACATCACAGCCAACCAAACTCCTCATCCCATCCGCAGGGTGTACCCGCCGCTGGTGTGGTGCAGCCTGTCCAACGGCACCAGCCTCATGCAGACCCTGCGTGCACATCGCGCCACCCAGAACGCCGCCACGGCCCACACCGAAAAGGTCCGGCGCTGAGGCCCACCTGCTGCGCATGCTTGCTGCCTGGCGCTGGGGTCTCACCCTCCTCTTCCCTGGGCCTGCAAACGCCCACTCATGAGCATACCATGCCAGTGACCCCGCTCCCCAGCCGGACCTCCCCCTACCCTCCCACGCCCAGGCCCAGACGGAGGTGGCTGCCCGTATCACGGCCCAGGAACGCGAGCGATGCAGAACCCTGCTGGCCGAGACCCCGGCGCAGGAACTGGGGCCGGTGCAGCGCGCCTACGCGCGGCTGCAGGCGGACGCCGGGGCCTCCCAGGGCTCGGGCGAGGACCTGAGCCCCGCGCAGCGGGCCGCGCTGGATCGCCTGGTGGCCGAGCGGCAGGCGCAGATGCAGGCCCAGTGCGAAGCCGAGCTGGGTCAGGCGGAGACCGGGCCGGAGGCTTCAGAGGTACATGGAGGGGGGAGGCCAATTCCTGGAGCCAGGCCACTTTTTTCTGGACACGTCAGCAAAGGCTCACTCCTCCTCACACGGATGTCCATGACTGCTTCATTCAGGTGATGGTGACCAAGGCGGTGCCGGTGCAGACCCTGCTGCTGGGGGAGGTCAGGCATCGGCACAGGCGGTCAGGGACGAGCGGTGCACCCACCCAGGCGCTGTGCACGTGAGGTCCCCTGGGCTGTGGTCTTTCGGGGAGGGAATGTAGCAGTGCCTGCTCCAGGCAATCGTATGCGTGAGCAGGCAGGCAGGCATGGTCCACGCCAAGCTGCAGCAACACGATGCCCCTCCCATGTCCCACCTCTTCCCATACCCCGGCGCCTAGTATCTGGAGGCCGGGGGAGGAGATGGGCGGCGTACGCGAGGGCTCTATCTTTTCAGCGCTGGGCTTGGAGCCGCGACCCCGGCGCGGGGCCGCCAACCCTGAGGCTCGGGCGGGGCTGGAGGTGCAGACGGGACGCGGCACCCGGTGGAGCCTGGTGGCCCACGACCGCACGGCGCTGCCGCCCAGCCTTGAGGCGGCGGCGGCGCCGCGGAGGGCGTGGAGCCTGGCATGCGTGCCGCGAGGGGACGCCGGGGAGGTGGACACCGCAGGCTTCTGCCTGTGTGTCGGTCCCGTGGTGGCACTAGGTGAGGCGAGCTGGAGGCCGTGAGTGAGGCAGGGGCGCGCTGGTTGGGATGTGTGCGACGCGTAGCGCGCTCGCCAAGTAGGATGGCATCGGCAGTGAGAGTGCGCAGGAGGGATTATCCCTACGTCTGCTGCCGCGCTCTTCGAACAGTATCTCTGAATGGATCTGAACCCCACCCTCCTCCCACACCAAGCACAGGGCATGCGGCCCAGGCGAGTCAGTGGGCCTTCTTCGTGGATGCCAGCTGCCCAGCGCAAAGCGGCGACCACACCCACCCCCCGCCCTGGCTGCTGGCGGTGAGGCTGGAGGGCGCCGTGCAGGGCATGGACTGGTTGGACCCCGGCACGCACGCGGGGGCCGTGCTGGAGCTGCGAGACGTCGTGGTGGGTGCTGTGGACGCAGACTCTCGCGTGCAGCAGGTTGTCGCCGACAAGCACTCCTCCATCTCGCCGAGGTGAGTTGGGGCCCAAGTGGTGCTGATAGTGGCTTGTATGCGTGCGCAGTCCACACAGAGTGTGCTGGGTGTGCTGCCACACCTTGAGCAAAGACCCGCAGTTCAATTCCTGGCACTGCTCATGGCCGATTGACTTCCCCCTTTCCTGTACAGAGTTCCAAAGCCAGATGGGAGCGCGTGTGACATACAGGCATTCGTGCAGGCAAACCTGGACCTCATCGCAGGGCTGCAGTGCCGGGCCGCATGCCTGCTTGGCGAAGGCTGAGGAGCCGCCGGCTGGCAGCATGGCGTCGAGGGGGCGCCCAAGCCATGGGTACGGATGCAGAGTCACTGCGTCCACCTGTTGCAGGAAGCCATTCACTTGGTGGGCTGTATTCCTTGCTCACAGCCTTGTAGGGGCGCACTGTGCCCCTTGACCCCCACAGTCAGGGACCTTGCATGCATGGAGGGTCTTGTCCCCCACCATCAGTTGCTGCCCCCCTGATGCTGGGCAGCCTTCCGAAACTGCTCCACCTTCAGCTTGTACAGCTCCTCATCCCGGATCACGCCCTTGTGCAAGGCCTGACATGTTTGCGGGCGGGGCCTGGGGATTGAAGGTTGCGTGTCGGCCTGCCCCGTGACGCCCTCGAAGCCCCTACCGGCCTTCCCCCTCACCTCGCGTTCCTCCTGCTGGTACCAGTGGACGGTGGCGATGCCCCAGGCGGAGAGGAGGGTGATCGTGGCCAGAGCGAGCTTGGGTCCGGCGCGCATCCGCCGGATGCAGCGGGCCTCGCCTCTGATTGTCAAGGTGTCGAAGGTACAATCAAAGGGGTAGCTTCTTGCTCTCGAACGCGCTCCTAGGAGGAGGTTCATGAGGAGCCTGGTTCACAAACGCCCAGCCCTCATCAGGGTGTTTTGCGAGCGACCGGATACACCTCGGACAATCGTTCCCGCACCTCTGAAGTTGATGGCCCCCTCCATCCTTCACCCTGCCCCTGGTTCCCTGAGCTATAAGATACAGGCACTGCAGCAGGTTGGACAGTCATGAAGGGCTGACCCTCTGCGCTAGGAGTGCAGCTTTCCACTGAAGGCGCACTGTCTACCCACGGGACAGGCATGAGACACCGAGATTGCTTTCGCTGGGGGCCAGTGACGGGTCCGCCCTGTACAGGTGCGCAGCGGCTGCCACGTCCGACGGAATGCTTCCAGGGCTTCCGCCTCCCGCTCACTTGCGGAACCAGAGCGCAGAGTCGTCCTCCTTGGTGTCCGGGGCGACGTAGCGGCACGCGCTGTAGTCCTCCCACACAGCGCGTCCCACCCACCGATCGTCCTTCTGGTAGTACTCCTTCAGGATGGGCTTGATCGCCGCCGTCGCCTCCTGTGTGGGGGAATGTTAGGCGGGGAAGGGAGCGGTCAGCTCCCCCTCCTGTGCTCCAATGGCAGGTATGAAAACCGGCTGCATGGCGGCAACGTCCAGGTGATGAGGGTGGGATGGATGAGCGTAGAATTCCTCCCTCCCCCAGTCCCCACCACCCAGCGTACCCACCACCCAGCGCACCCACCACCCAGCGCACCCACCACCCAGCGTACCCACCACCCAGCGTACCCACCACCCAGCGTACCCACCACCCAGCGTACCCACCACCCAGCGTACCCACCACCCAACTCCCCCCCAGCCCACCAACCCCCAGAAATCACACACACACACAAACCCACGCCCACCTGGGCATGGTAGTGCGGGATCTGGCTGAAGAGGTGGTGGCAGACGTGGGTGTCAGAGATGTGGTGGAAGAAGACGTCCAGGAAGGGGGGGCCCATAGAGCGATCCACGGTGGCCATGGCCCCGCGCAGCCAGTCCCAGTCCTTCTCGTAGTAGTGGGGCAGGGCGGGGTGGGTGTGCTGGAGCAGGGTGATGGTGACCAGCCAGGCGTTGACCACAAAGTAGGGGACGACGTAGGTCTTGACCAGCCAGGCGGTGCCGAAGGAGCGGGCCAGCAGCCCCAGGCCCGACACCACCGCCACCAGCGCGGCGTCGGACAGCGCCACCTCTGCGCGCTCGCGCTTGGAGAAGATGGGCGACCAGGGGTCGAAGTGGTTGGCGAAGCGGGGGTAGGGGCGGGAGGAGGCGTTGAAGGCCAGGTACAGGGGCCAGCCCAGGAGCAGGGCCACCGCGATGTGGGCAAGGCGGGCGGGGGCGGTCTGCTCCCACTCAAAGCCCTCATGGGGCTCCTCGCGCTGGGCGGGCACAAACACCTCGTCCTTGTCCACGCACCCCGTGTTGGAGTGGTGCCGACGGTGGCTGTGCTTCCACGAGTAGTAGGGGACCAGGAGGAGGGAGTGGAACACCAGCCCAACTCCGTCATTGATGGTCTGGGACGTGGAGAAGGCCTGGGGCAGAAACAAGGGGGGGGAGGGAGATGGCGGACGGGGGGTGTTCTTTTGTTGAGAAGGGCAGCGGAGAGGATGGAGGGCTGATGAGCGGATATGCCCAGTGAGATAGATAGCGCAGCGGGAGTGGGCTTTCGAGGGGAGCCGGCATGGGGTTTCCCAGCCGCCTTGGCCGCCCAGTGACAGGGGGCACGAACACTCGGACTGGGCACTGAGGCTCACAGGAGCCATGCATGGCATTCGTAACACCAGGGGCGGAGCCAACCCGCCATCGATTCAACCCCGCTCCGCACCTGATGGCCGCACTCGTGGGCGATCACCCAGATGCCCGTGCCGACCGCGCCCTATACGACCGGGGGGGAGAGGGTGACAGCCTCAGCACAGGCGACGGGCGTGAGGGGTCCGCGCCCCTCGCAACGCGTCGCAACAACCTCGAGAGGGCACTAACATGGCATGTGCCTACCTGGAAGAACCAGTACGTGGGCCAGAGGAAGGTGTACTTTAACCAGGTCGGCAGAGGGGCGGGGTCGATGTACGTCGACGCCACATACAGAGCCGCGACCAGGGCCACATCCACCATCAGATAGGCTGCGCTGTGCAGAGCTGATCGCTCGAAGCAATGGGCAGGGATGGCCTTGCGCAGGGTGCCGATGGTGAAGGGTGGCTTGGCCACGCTCTGGCGCTTCACGGCTGCCATGGGGACAGCAGCCCGACAGGGCGGGGCTGCAAAGCTGTCTTACGGCAGTCTCAAGGGGTTGTCAGCCCAAAAAAGTCTCGATCAATCTGGCCGAGCCCAAGCTGTACACGTCGCATTGAATGGATGACACGGCCCATGGCTAAGTAGCCAGAGAGATTCGAGTGCCCCTTTCCTGCGTCAGCGAAAATCGCGCCGGGTTTCTACAGATTGTCAATCCTCCGCAGAACCAGCTTCTAACACTATTCTTGCTGGGGTTTCTCTTGTATCTTGCCGTGCTCCCTCAACAGCGAGTCGGCTGTAGATTTTCGAATACCTATGCCTTCTTGTCCGAGTCCGCCGAATCATACCTGGTACCGCTTTTCACCTTTTGCCCACGCATTCGAGTCCCGACTACACAGACAATGGGTGCTCATTGATTTTTCTGATTACTTGAGCCAAATACATCTTATGGAAATGGTGGAGGATGGTCGTACCGCTGCTTGCCATGCTCAGCTCGCCTCAGCTGGGCAGACCTTGATCACCATTGATCACAGCTGCCGCTCTCAGGCAGCGGAATCCTATCAGGCTGGCATTGAGTCTTCACAGAGGGCAGCTGTCAATCGGAGCTTGGGCAAGAAAGATAATCGTATGGTGTTGGACGTTAATCATGCTCCAATGAGAAAGCCATGCATGACCTCGCGATTCCTGAGCTACAAACTGTACCCCTGCCAGTCACAGAATATGTTCTTTATTTTACCAGAGAGGCTGCAACGATATTTAGAGCACCGGCAGGCACTATGCACCTGCAACAGATGCCCACCCACAAAATGGTGTATCTTCTACCCTGCGGCTTGTGTGATGATTGAGTTTACATGCCAACTCTTCAGGGATCCATTCAAGGAGTCTTCTCAACAGCTAGAAGGGGTGTGCAGGCAAGATGTAAGCTGAGCCCAGATTCTGGGCTCTCCTCTGCAGCACCATACTGAACGAGCTTCAATGAGTAGCGATAAATTGGATAGGGTCTTGTAAACCGTGCAGTACATGTTTCCAGGGAATCTCGGGCGGTGGAACAGGGAGATGTCAACTGCAAGGAAAGCCAGCCTGTCCGAGGATGCGAAGACTTCTGCTAAAAGGGAACTCCTGGGATCTTTTAGCGCCTTGGTGGCGGAATGGCCTCTTTATTGGGTGGAAGCTGGGACGCCTTCCTTGGGGGAGACCGGGGGACCTTCCTGGGTGGCAGCGGAAAGGACTTCTTTACAGGGGGCGTGGACGCCTTCTTAGGTGTAGGCGGGGACGCCTTTCTGGGTGGTGGTGGTGGTGACGCCTTCTTGGGTGGAGGCGGGGACGCCCTTCTGGGTGGTGGTGGTGGTGACGCCTTCTTGGGTGGAGGCGGGGACGCTTTTTTGGGTGGTGGTGGTGGTGACGCCTTCTTGGGTGGAGGCGGGGACGCCTTCTTGGGTGGTGGTGGTGGTGACGCCTTCTTGGGTGGAGGCGGGGACGCCTTCTTGGGAGGGGGAGGCGGGGACGCCTTCTTGGGTGGAGGCGGGGACGTCTTCTTGGGAGGTGGAGGCGGGGACGCCTTCTTGGGAGGGGGAGGCGAGGGTTTTTGCGGGGGGCGGAGGAGGGCTGATGCGGGGTGGGGGAAGGGGCGAGACTGATGGTGGTGGTGATGATGGGGAAGGAGGCGATGGAAGTGGAAAAGTGGGCGGTGGGGGCGGAACAGGGGTCGGTGGTGATGGAGCAAGTGGAGGCGGGGACGGAGGAGGTGGCTTGGGGGATGGTATTGAGGGGGATGGAGCTGCCGGGGAAGGACTCGGTGCAGGCGAAGGTGGCAATTGGGGTCTCGGCGAGGGTGCGCCTGATGGGCTGGGGGCTGGGGATGGTGGCGGCGCGCCCGGTGGAGAGGGAGAGGAACGAGGTGGTGGTGCGCTGCCTGGCGAGGGACCTGAAGGTGGCGGGGGTGTGCCCGACGGGGCGGGAGCGGGTCTCGGCGGGGCCGGACCGGGCGGGGTGGGCGGTGGAGGGGTGGGCGGGGGGAGAGGGGACGGTGCAGGGGGCGGTGAAGGTGGGGGCCCTGACCCAGGAGGTGTCGGACGTGGAGTTGGCTGCGGCGCCGGAGCAGGCGCAGAGGGTGGGAGCGGGGGAGGTGGCGGAAACGGGTTGATGTCGACCGGTGTCGCCCACAGCTCATCTCCATCGTTGTCCACGCCATACCCCACAATCTTCCCCTCCATGCAGCTGCTGGTGGAGGTGAAGGTCTTGGTGCTGATGGTGATCAGGTCGGCCGGCGCATAGATGTGGGTCTCCTCCGCCCCACCGATACGGTATATGATGTGGAGCAGCGCCAGCAGGTCTGAGGTGGTCACCTTGACCTGGCACCTGCAGAGGTCGGACTCCAGCCCCTGGCACATCGCACTGCTCAGCGTGACGGGAGTGGGGGGTGGCGGCGGCGGTGGCGGGGAGGGGTTGGGTGGCGGGGGAGGGAGGGAGTCGTCGCGGATGGGGTAGGGGCCAACTTGAAAAGGGATCCCTATCTGGACAACGGCTGTTACTGTTCCCAGGGGCGAAAAGGCAACGAAAATCGCAGTGTATGTCATTTTGCTAGAGCTGCTCACATACTGCTGCTGATAATTTGAGCCGTCGGACATGTTGAAGGTGAGCGCCACCACTGAAGGCAGCTGTTGCAAGGTCATGCTGACGGTGCAGGAGAGCCTCTCTGAGTACGCCTTGTGGCAGAAGGCACTGTCGAACACAGCCAGGTCGGGGGGAGGGGGCGAGGGTGGGGGCGGCAGCGTAGGTGGGGGGGGAGGCCCAGGGTGTGGCGGGGGTGGACTTGCGAAGGGGGTGATTGGGGTCCTGGTGGAGCGAATGGAAGACCCATCTGCTGCCCTGAACCAGGCGTAGGCACTGCCCTCGACGGAGGACCCAGCACCGGTCCAGGTCACGAAGGTGGTGAGCTGTTTGGGTTTGAACTTGACCTCGCCCAGAAGATCACCCCAAGTGTAGTCGATGTAGTAGGAGTCCGGAGGCAGCTCGGACAATGTCACGCTGGCGGTGCATGTGATGAAATCGGCAGGTGGGTCACCGCGAGATGTCCTCACGCACTCGATAAAGTTCAGGGTGATGGTCGGCTTGTCCTGCGCGGATGAGGCGAGGCGAGGAAGAGAAGGTAGCACCTCGAGATGTAACGAATGGCTGGGTTTGTGGGATTCACGCACCCGAATCTTGAGGTTCTCACCGCTGCGGCAAGTGTCGTGTGCCAAACAACCAGAAGCGTCCATAGGAGGGCGGTGGGTCGGGGCGCTTTCATTCAATGCGTGTACTGCCAGCCGGTACGGGTCCGGAATATAGACAGTGCACATGCCCAGGCGGAGCTGACGACTATTATGCGGCATGCAAAAGTCAGACATATCCAATCTTATGCCATTCGGGTACGGAACATATCCCTGCACTTCCTACATCCGTCGCGCCATGCCCTGCTCTTGCTGTGAACCGCATGCGGACGACCAGCGGACCGCCGGTTGTACGTGGAGACGTTGGGTCTGCCATCTGTCCACAAGCATGCTTGTCGAATCATTCAAGTGCTGTCAGGTTCGGTAGAGTCGCTTGGGGTGGTGAGTGCTGCACAAACCTTGCGTGTTGTGTCTCGTAACTTCCGAGGGCATACCAGCGACACGTTGCAGGGACCACAAAGTTCGAAACATGAGCGATGTGAGGGATGCAGAGCAAAGGGTGGCCCAAATCCTCGCGGGGTAATTATTTCCTGTAGAATCTCATGTGCTCGGTTTGCTCTTGAAATCAGCAGAATTTATTCGGGTCCCTACAGTCCTATTCAAAGTTTCTGAGGACGAAGCCGAGCTACCGCCTGCTTGGGAACAGGAAAACGAGCCCTAGCGTCCTGACAAAGAAACACGCACTGCTCTGGCTTAAAAGTATAGTTTCAATGTCAGAGACACACTCTCCTGTCGGAATTTCGGATGCTTGAGGTACTAAAACCTTCTCGAGCAGGGCAAGTCTGAGCGCGAGAGATCTCGAATTCCACCCACCACGCGCCACAATTGTGACGCATTGCCAATCGCTGCCGAAGCGCAGCGTGAAAGCAGGGGAAGTACCGAGCTTTGTCGATTCTGGGATTACCTCCATCCGCATGAGAGGTGCTATGGGCGTGAGTAGTCCTGCTCCCTCAGCTGGGCTGAATACTCCCGGCGAGAAACTCGTGGCAAGAGGATGGCCCGAATGAGCTGGAGCACGTAGCGCTAGAATGGCCTCGGGAGTTACACTAGTGTCTATATGACCCTCATTGATTACAGCGGAGGCACGAATTGGGAGGTAGACAGGTATTATCTATAAAGGCGCGCAGGGCCGGGTGGGTTAGCATCCCAACGCCCTATCGGTGGAGGGTCTGGTATAGGAAGGAACTGCGCGGCAATGGTACCTCAGGGGTTTCCTCTACATGGTTGAGGGAGTGCCAGACGGGCTGGGGGTGGGGCTTGGCGGGGGTGTGCCAGACGGGCTGGGGGTGGGGCTCGGCGAGGGAGTGCCGGACGGGCTGGGGATGGGGCTTGGCGGGGGTGTGCCGGACGGGCTGGGGGTGGGAGTCGGGGGAGTTCCGGTGCTTGGAGAGGGAGTTGGAGATGGTGAGGGGGTTGCCGGGGCTGGGAAGGGGGCCGGGATTGATGGGGAAGGGGACACTGAAGGCGACGGGATTGGAGTGGGCGGACTCGCCGGTGCAGGTGAAGGAGATGGGGAAGAAGATGGAGGGGGTGGGAATGCAGTGATTGGAATAGGTGAAGCGTGCAGCTGCTGTCCATCGTTGTCCTGGCCGACGGCCGACACAGATCCTGATATGGAGCCCGTTGTGACGGTGATGGTGCTGATGGTGATGAGATCATTTGGTGCATAGGTGTGAGTAGCAGTCACCCCACCGACGTTGTAGGTGACGGTGATGAGAGCCATCAGGCTCCCGATGGTCACCTGTACCTGGCACTCGTACAGCTTGGGCTCCTGCTGCTCGCACATGGCATTGCTCAGCGCAAAGGGGATCGGAGGCGGCGGGGAGGGGGGCGGGGAGGGGGGCGGAGAGGGTGGTAGGGGAGGGGGTGAGATTGTGAAGTCGCCGATGGTGAATGGGCCAGCACCCAGAGGGCCCTTAGGAAACATGACCGTGGCTGAGACTGTCCCAGAAGTAGTGAACGCCACGAAGACCATGGTGTATGTCATCGTCAACTTGTTGGTAGGCTGCGTTTGCTGCGACTTTGAGCCATCCGCCATGTCGAACCAGAGCCACACTTCTGTGGGCATTGTCAGGAAGGTCACGGTGACATTGCATTCGATCCTCTCAGTGTACACCTTGTGGCAAAGGGCGGAGTTGAACATGATTTCGGTGGGGGGAGGGGGCGAAGGAGCAGGAGGCGGTGGTGGGATGGGAGGTGGGGATGGATGGGGAGGGGGTGGGCTCGTGAAAGGGCTGATGAATATCATTGTGGAGCGGTAGGTTGACCCATCCACCGCCTCAAACCATGCGCAGGCGGTGCCGTCGGCGGAGGTCCCGGTACTGTTCCAGGTGTGGAAGGTGGTCAGCTGCTTGGGTGTGAAGCTGACCTGGCCCAGGGAGTGACCCAAGACAAAGTCGATCCAGTAGGTGTCCTTGGGCAACTCGGAGACCGTCACGCTGGCGGTGCATGTGATAATGTCGGCGGGTGGGGTCCAGTCGGGGGATTTGACGCACTCCACGAAGTTCAGGGTGATGCTCGGCTTGTCCTGAGCGGCGCAACCAGGGAAGGGGGTAGCTTACGGCTGGACGGCCAGCAGATGGTGATTCGATGTCCTCCCACACTCAATATCCATTTTACTCACCGCTGCGGCAGGGATCGCGTGCCAACCCACCAGGAGCGCCCATAGCAGGGCGGCGGCCCGGGGCCCGATCATTAAGGGTGCACGGCAACAGGTATGGGACCAGGTATAGTCAGTGGACTCACACCAATGCAGTTGACGGATCTATCGGGCGATGAAGGGGCAGACACAATATTATGATCAAGCATATATGAAAAACGCTCCAGCATGAAGCGCTCTTTCTCGATCCAGACGCTGCCCCTCCATGCGGGCCGGATGCGGACGTCCAGCGGGAGCCCCGGTATATGTACGAGGGGTCGTGAGCATGCCACCTACTCGCAAGGTGGCACATTCAAGAACAACTGGTGCCGTGGGAGTCAGACCGGGTTTTCGCCGCTTGTACACGTACTCTTCTGCTCTGCATATGTCAAGCACTGCATGGCGACATCGCAGCGGCCATAAGCAGGTAGAAAGGAGGCCCGGAACATCCTTGGTGAAGAGCAAAGGCCATCAGAGTGAGTGCAATTTCTAACTGATGTTACGACACCACTCCTTGAGAGTTTGGTAAGCCTTTAAAGACACAGTAAAAGGCTGGTCAGGGTATCCAGCCACGAGGAACTCTCTGCAACCTGGAAACAAAGCGGTTGTTCACCTGTGAGGTTACCACCAGGTGTCCGTGCACATGCTACGATAATTACCGATCTGCTTTGATGGCAATGTCTTGATACCAGCCAAATTAATCAGTTGAATGTTGGGTACTCCAGTCTCGCATTGAAATCGGGCCAAACCTATGTATCTCCTTGATTGTGCGGGATCTGCCTTACACTCCCTCCGCGCCCCGGTTTGATGGCCTTGCCGATCGCAGCCGATACACAGCGTGAATGTGACCAAAGCATTTACCTGTCGGTCATGGGATTGTTACAATACACATGAGAGGTAGTAAGGTCTTGAGGCCACCTGCCGGCGCAGCTGGGTTCTAGGTTCCCCCGAATAGCTGGAGCCCACAACCAATGCAACAGTATGGTCCAAATGAGCTGAGCCCAGAAAGCCTGAAGGTGTACGGGGCGAGACTTGACAGCAACACTCTTGCCTGACTGCCGCTGATTGATTGCAGTAAGGGCAAGAATGGGCATAGGGTTGGGCAGTAATCATCAGAGGTATGCAGGGTTGGGTGGGTGACACGCCCACGCCTTCACATTGTCGACTCTGGACCATCAATAGAAGGCACGTGACGATACCACGGAAAAAACGATCACAGGGTGGACGGGGTGCCCGACAGACTGGGGGTGAGACTTGATGGGGGTGCGCTACTCGGAGAGGGAGTTGGAGGGGGTGGGAATGCAGTGATTTCAATCGGCGTTGCATATAGCTGCTGCCCTGCATCGTCCTCACCGATGGCTGACACAGAACCCTCCATGGAGCTCGTGCTGACGGTGATAGTGCTGATGGTGATGAGGTCGTCTGGTGCATAGGTCTGAGTGGCAGTCACCCCACCGACGTCGTAGTTGACGGTGATGAGGGCCAGTAGACTCCCGATGGTCACCTGGACCTGGCAGTTGTAAAGCTTGGGCTCCTGCTGCTCGCACATGGCATTGCTCAGCGCGAAAGGGAGGGAGGCGGCGGGGAGGGGGGCGGGATGGGGGGGCGGGGAGGGGGGAGATGGAGGAGTCGCCAATGGGGTAAGGGCCGACACTCATTACGACTCCGTGGTACATGACTGAAGCTGTGACCGTCCCAGAGGACGAAACTCCCGAGACAAGCGTCTTGTACGTCATCTTCAAGGAGTTGGTGTACTCCCTTCGCTCCGATTTTGGGCCGCCCACCATGTCAAAGATGAGCCACACCTCTGAGGGCAGCTCCAGGAATGTCATTTCAACGGTGCATGCGACCTCTTGATAGTACGCCTTGCGGCAAAGGGCGGAGTCGATTGCAATCTTGGCGGGGGGTGGGGGTGAAGGAGCAGGCGGCGGCGGTGAAATAGGAGGTGGGACCGGGTGTGGGGGAGGGGGGCTCGCATAGGGGCTGATGGGAATTTCGTTGGAACGGATAATGCTCCCATCAGAAGCCTTATACCATGCGTGAGCACTGCCAACGACGGAGGACCCCGTAGTGTTCCAGGTGTTGTAGGTGGTCAGATGCTTGGGTTTGAATGTGAAGTCGCTCTCGAAATGACCCAAACTGTAGTCGATTGTGTAGGAGTCCAGAGGTAACTCGGAGACCGTCACGCTTGCGGTGCATGTAATAACGTCGACAGGTGGGGTCCAGTTGGAGGCTTTGGCGCACTCCATGAAATTCAGGGTGATGGTGGGGTTGTCCTGTACGGAGCAGCCGGAAGAAGAAAGGGGAGGTTACGGCTGGACGGCCTGCAACAGGGTGTGTCGAGGCCTTCACGCATTGGAGCTTCTTCCCCTCACCGCTGCGGCAGGACTCGCGTGCCAAACCACCAGGAGCGCCCCTAGCAGAGCGGCCGCCCGGGGGCCGATCATCAGGAAGGTGCCCTTGTAGCAGGTACTGGTCAAATTGCAGGCAGTGTTCACGCGCAAGCTGATTCGATTTTGGACTCGGGGCGATGAAGAGGAACACATCAATCCTTACTGTACTGTGTACGATGTGCATCCCTACATGTTTACGATTTCTCAGGCAGTACGCTGCCCATTTCGCGAGCCGGATGCGGACATCCAGCGCGACCCCCGGTTCTACATGGGAAATCGTCGGGAGCGTGCCATCTGTTCGCATGGCTGTCACTGGACAAAGTTCAGCGCTTTCACAGCTGTATATAGGAGTCGCTTCGCCTTTCTGTAAAAGTCTCTGAGATGCTTGTGTAGAGTACTGCGAGAAGACATTGCAGCGACCAAGAACAGGGATAGATTTCGCAACATCCTCAGGTGAGGGCAGCGGCGTTCAGGTGAGACCAGTATCGTGTATGGTGATTCAATTTTGGTTCAAATTATCGTGGGAATACCTTTCATGCTGAGACACTTGATGTTTGGCTAGATGGTCAAGCAAGGAAGTACTTCTCTGCAAGTTGGAAAGCGAATAGAATAATAGATGAGAACGACTTAGGCATGTGCGGATCCTTTACAAAAAGAAATGCGCTGTGGCGATGCTCAAGTTTTCTCATCAGCCGAGTGCCCGAGTAGAGTCGGATCTCCTATCCCGCGATGGTTTCGCGCCCTCCAAGCGTCCGAGAGCGCGCGCGATCTTGACTTCCGTGCCCCGCTCAAACGCGTTGCTGATCACAGCCGATGCGCAGCGTGAGCGTGACATCAGCACACCCTTATAAGTCTCTTCAAGGCATCAACCACATACAAGGGTAGCATGGGCGTGAGTGGCCCTGCTTCTCCAGCTGGGCTGACACCTCCTGTCGAGTATTTGGACCCAATATCCAATGACGTCATGCAGGATCCCGTGGTGCTAGGAGACACGGGCAACACCTACGAGCGAAGCACCATATCCATGTGGCTGGAGCGCTGTGCGCGTGCGGGCCGGGCCGCTACAGATCCGCTCACCGGCCTCGTCGTGGGGGATGCTCCCAAGGTGAGGCTCGTCATGGGCCCCGATGGTCTCAACCAGAGGCTATGCGTGCACGCGCAACCAGTTCAGTGCAGGAACCTCCTATGCATGGGACGTCATCCCTTATTGCCGCTCTGGGAATGGCCTGAACCCACACCCTTCCCCATGTGAAGTAGTCATCTGTCTGCACAAAAATGCTCTCCTTAGGTGCCTCCCCTGGACTTCCACGTACCGCCTTTGTCCCCCGATCCACCCGTGCAGCTCATTCCCAACCACACATTAAAGAGCCTGATCCAGGGCTGGGCCTCCCGCCACTACATCGTCGACCTGGGGCGCTTCAGCAAGGCACGGAGGACGAAGCGGGCCACCCCCTCAAAGCAGCCTGCAACCGAGGCGGCGATTGGGACGAGTGGCAGTCCTTCCACCACACCAGCCTCTCCCAGGACCGCCGAGCACCAGGGCCCGGACTCGCCCACCCACCGACTGGAGGGCGGGGCATCGAGGAGTGAGGGACACCATGCCGAGCCGCCTGCCCTTCCCCCGCCCCGCCCTGCCAGGCCGCTCTACCCTGACCCCGGCGACCCCGCCTCGGCCCGACTGGGGCTGGACGGCGTACCCGAGGCCCTGGCGGCCCTGCACCCCTCCCGCCTCGCCGCCGGCGGGTACCCCGCGCAGGCCAAAGCGGCCTACGCTGCACGCACGCTGAGCACGCTGGCCTCCCAGCGGGAGGCGCAGGATGCCATGATGGAGGTGAGGGCGCGGGTGCTATGGGTCCAGTGTGTTCGCAGAAAGCCCAGATTGTGCGGGCGTCGCTGGGGCTTGACATGTTGCATCTGGAACTGGGTTCTGGATCCGCCGACCTCCTGCTCCTCGGGTGGGTGGGGACGCTTGTTCCTGGAACTGTACCCAGCTGAATCTCTTGCCCCACCTTCCCTCTGCCCCATCCTGAGCACCGCAGCACCAAGCAGTGCCACTGGCCCTCGTCCTGCTGGGCAGGCGGCTGGCGCCAGCAGACGCCACACCCCACCTCCTCCGAATCCTGCAGCGGCTGGCAGGTGCGGGTGGCTGGCCGCGGCACCTCTCGCCATCATGTGCTGGCGGGGGGGATGAGCACGGCTTGTTTTGCCTTGCATCCCTGCTGGCCGGAACGCGTTCTCTCCCATGGCAAGCCCTCCCCAGCCCGACCTTGGGCGGGCCTGCTCCGTGCCCCACACTCGCCCTCCCTCTTTCACCCCCCCCCCAAAAACTACTAAACCCTCTTCCATCTGTGCAGCCTGGCGTGGCGACGTCGCCCAGGAGATTGTGGCCTGCGGTGGCATCCTCACGGCGGCCAGCCTCCTGTCGGAGCCTGCCCCCGAGGTGCGGGCCGCCGCGGCCTCCCTCCTCTATTTCCTGGTCCAGCAGCAACCGGGGCGGGGGCGCCAGGCCGCCCTGGACGCCCTGGCCGGGCAGGCCGCGCGTGGGCGCATGCCGCCGCGCCCGCTGATGGCCTTCTGGCGCTGGCATCGGCCGGTGCCAGGGGCCGAGGCCGGGGCAGGGCCAGAGGGCGAGACCGAGGCTGGCGCGTCGGCGGGCGCGCTGGCGGCGGCCGACGCCAGCCTGGCATGCCTGGTGCATGCGCTGGTCTCCGGGGATGTGGGATTCTGCCGCGCAGACGCCCTGGACGCGCGGGACACAGCCGTGCCGGCGGCCCTGGCTCGGGCGCTGCTGGCGGCGGGGCCGCGCGGCGACGCGGCCACGAGCTGCGCAGCGGAGGAAGCGCTGGCCGGCCTGGCCGAGCACGCCCCTGCCGGCCTGGCGTCGCTCGTGACGGCGGCGCTGGAGGCCGGAGCGGGGTCGGCGGCGAGAGGGGCGGCGGCAGAGGCGGCGGCTTGGCCCTACGCCGCCGCCGCCGACGCGGCTGCCGTGCCAGAGGCGGCTGCCGCCTTTGGCGCCTCTGCCCCCTCGGAAGCTGCGGAGCAGCTGGCCGGGCTGTGCCGCGGGCTGTGGCTGCTGTGCGCCGCCCGCGGCACCGACCCGGCGGCCGTGCGCGCGGCGTGCCACGCCAGCCCCCACTTCCCCGAGTTCGTGCGCGGCGTGCTGCGCTGTGCGGCTCTGGACCCCGGCTCGCCCCTGCTCCCCCGGCTCCTGGGCTGGCTGGGGGCGCTGTGCCACGAGCCGCGCTCCCCCTCTGCCTCGCTGGCCGCGGCCACGGAGGGCGTGCGCGCCGCCCTGGCGACCGTGCTGCCGGACCTGCTGCCGGCGCTGCTGCGGGAGGTGGAGGCGGGGACGGCCTCGCCCCCAGGCAAGCGATGCTGGTGGTGGTTGGGAGGTGGGGTGGAGAGGCGGCGCTGTGTCGGGTAGCTCAATCGAAGCTTGCAGATGAGGTTGCCGGGCGCGGCGATGACCACCCCGCCGTCAAGCGCCTGTGCCCACGCGCTGCCATGACGTCGGACCGGCCTACCCAAGCGCGATCTCCCGAATCCCTCCCCCCAACAACCCATCATCGCTCCCCTCCCACACCCCTCCCTGCAGGCTCGCTGCGCCGCGCCGAGCTGGCATGCACGCTGACGTGCAACCTGGCGGCCAGCCGCGGCGGGGCAGGCCTCGGCCCCTCCTCGGCCGAGGCCCCCGCCGGCCCGAGCGGCAGGTGGGGCGGGCGCCTCCAGGAGGGGCTGACCGCCATGCTCCGCGGCACCGGCCAGGACCCCCGCGTCCTGCTGGCCGCCGCGCTGTGCACGCTGCTGTGCGCCGCGCTGGGCGCACTGGACCGAGCCAACGCGGCGCTGGCCGCCGGGCTGGCCGCCGCCGCGCGCGCGCCGCCGCGGGCGGGGGCGGGGCCCTCGGGGGCGCCCCCCGCCGCGCCGGCCGGGCCGGGTGAGGTGGCCGCCGCGGCGCTGAGCGCGCTGGTCGCCGCGACGTGCGCGGCCTGCAACCTGGCCGCCAGCCCGTCCGCCGCGCGGGCCGTGCGCGCGCACGCGGCGGGGGCGCGCGGCGCGCACGGCGCGGCGAGCGGCGAGGACCTGGTCGCCACGCTGCGCACGCTGCTGGGGGACCGGGGGCTGGCCCCGGCCTGCCGCGACGCCGCGCGCCGCCTGCTCCTGGACGCCGAGGGGTCGGCCGCGGGCGGCAGCCGGCCGGTGCAGTGCATCACCGCGCAGCTGCCGCAGCGGAGGATGGTCTTTCCCCAGCCGTGAGGAGTGGGAGGGGGTGGAGTGGCCCCCAGCCGCATGGCCAGTCCCCAGCAGTAGACAGGCTGGACGACTTTCCGCTGTGGTCGAGCTCGGCCACTTCTTGCAATTTTGCAGCTGTCTCTTGCATGAAGCAGCCATGCCTTGTGAATCGTTGTCGTCGAGCATCTCGCCAAGCTTCATGTCAGCGATCCCTGACGATACTGTCACCGGTCATCCGGCATGGCGAGCCCCCAACCCCCCGACACGAACGGCACATAGAAAACCAGGAAACTGGCGCGGTGAGCTTCAGAATCGATTCTGCTCAATTAATTAAAGCATAGAATGTCCCAATGGACACTAGAATAGCGCAATGACACCATGATCTCCCCCGACGGGGTGTGGACCCTGGCACGGGGCCGAAAGGCCCGGCGGAGGTGTCACGGCGCCTTGGCCTGCAGCGGCGGCCTACACAAGGATGAGCGGCCCGCCTCCATCGAGGAGAGGGCCCACCTTCGGGGCTTGCTGGACAAGGCGACCGACATGGTGGCCCAGTCCCGGTTCTTCAGCCAGCTGGTGGCAAGCTTCCAGGAGCTGGCCTTTCCCTCAGATGCTCAGGAGCACCCTGCTGGGGAAGGGGCATCCCCACCCCAAACCCTGGCACAGGTCCCGGTACGAGCCACAGTCTGGGGCCTGGGCTCGCTGCGACAGCCGCGCGCAGCGCACATCCGGTGCCAGCTGGCGCTGCTCTGCCTCTTGAGGGCTGGGGTGCTGCAGCGGCTCTCTGGCCCCATCACCGCGGTGGACCCTGCCTTCACCCCCGCCGATGTAGACCTGCTGGAGTCCCTGGGGATGGAGGCGCGTCTTGTTGCGGGGTTTTAGAGGGCGGGTTCCTGTAGCTCAATGACCGGCTCCGACACAGGGCCTCTGCCCCTGGGCTGTCGACGGCAAGTCCCAGACACACTGCCTTCCCCCAACCCTGCTCCCCAACCCCCCACGCTGGACCCCCAGGTCCACGCAGGGAACACTCCAGTGGCCCGGAAGCCCACGCTCTTCTTCCTGGCACACTGCAGCGCGGACCTCACCGATTCCCTGCTTTCCAGCAACCGTGCGGCCGGCACGCTGCACAACCTGGTGCTGCTGGGCAACAGCCTGTCGGCCATCGCCGCCGCCTGGCAGCACGGGGGACCTGCGGCTGGGCACGCCGCGATTTCCACCATCCTGGACCTGGTCCAACCCGGCTCCTGCATGCGGGAGGTGGCGCTGCCGGAGTACGCCTTCCCCGTGATCTCCGCGTTCAACGACATCAGCATCCACACCTTCTGGGCGGCCCCGCCCCTGAAGCAAACCGACTAGGATTATTTCGGTTTCTGCTTCCATTCATGACCCTGACGTATCATATCGCTGCACTCACAGCTTGCCCTTGAATGCGGGCAAGTCGACCTCCTGCTGAATTCCCCTGGGCCCACTTGGCAGCAGGCATCTGCTTGGTCAGGCTAGCCAGAATCTCACTGGTCCGAACCACACATCTCCCCCACCTGGTTCTTTCCTTGCACCTTCATTGTAGCTGCATTCACAGGAGGGGTCATGGAGCACAGAAAATGATCACAAGGGAATATTGATGACTTATGTGGCGATGGCTTGCCCCTTCATCACCATGGGCAATGCATGGCAAGGTTCCAGAGGCAATGGCGACATGTGATGGGTGCTGAGGTTCATGGCAGTCACAGCACGCTGCGTCAGCGCAGGTGTTGACGCAGGCAGTCCTGCAAGCTCGACGCCATCGCTCTGTTGGGCTGCTTCAAGGCACCAGGCGATGCCAGGTCGCGCAGAGCAGGGAGCGGCTGCGCAGCCTTGGACGCAGCGGTGGGGGACAAAGGATGTGAGTCTCTACGATCTGCCCGGGGTCTAGGCTCCATGGAATTGCTGCCAGGTACTGGAAGCGCTGCAGAGGCTGCGATGGGGGAAGCGCCGCCTGCTGATCCTTGTCTGTCACCGTGAGGCTGCCCCGCGGGGATGCTGGGTGCCGCAATGAAGGGGAGGGGGTTGGGCAGGTACTTGACCCCCCGGCAACTGGGTGGGTCCGGCAGCAGGCGCCGCACCTGAAAGTGAGGGGCATACCGAGAAGCACTAACGATTGCGCGTACACCTTTGCCGGGGGAGACCCAGGGCAAGTCAGCAAGAGCATACGTGTAATCCCCCCACCTGGCATGCCCCCCTCACCTGAGCAATTTGCACTGGGGTTTGGGGGGACCGGACTCCCTGCGGATATCGCCGAGTGTCGTGGAATGCCTGTGTGTAACGCAGGGCGGTCGCCACAGGCAGGTGGTAGAGCCGGCCCAGCATTGTGGCAATGACGGTGCCTGTGCGGCCGTGGCCCCCCCAGCAGTGGACGTACAGTCGCTCCCCTGCATGTGGCGGCGGTCAGGACGGGAATAGCTGGCAGGAGTCCATCAGGATGCATCTTGCAGTGGTAGGAAGGGACCAGGGCTAGCAAAGATAAACAAGGGCACACCATTTCTTCAGCCATCCCCCCTCGCACCTCGCAGCAGGCGCAGGCAGCAATCATCCACAAGGCGACTCATGGCCGTGTCGGTCGTGACATTGCCGTCCAGAATGGGAAGGTGGAGGAAGTCCAGCTTTTCCTGCAAGAGAGCATGTGCCGGTGGGTAACCATGGTCAGGTGGGGGGGGGGTTGCAATGTTTCTGAGCCTTCCTGTAGGAATTGATTAATTGTTAGTAACAGACTCGGCCCTCGATTACCTGCAATATCCTTTGACTGTGTGTAGTCCTGGCTTGGATGATCAGTCTCTGGGCGTCTTTAATGTAGGGTCGAAGTCCCTGCAAGAAGAGGGTTCGGAGTGGTTGGTTTAGGGTTGTGAGAACGGGAGTCAGCAATTTTGTCATAAGATGCAAGGGGTGTCGGATGAACCCATGGTATTATGGTAAGTTTTGTGCACAGCACCACAGGCTTTCAACAGCATGCCGCCAAACGTTCCTCCCAACACCTGGCCAGTGCGCCATAGGTTCTCGGATGTATGGAGGGAGAACTCGGCCTGGAGGCACACGAATGTGGTCACCCCCAGCTCTAGGAGAGTGGTGAGGATCCGGTCCGTCTCCCCATCGTCCTGTCCGGCGGGGTATGCACCTGACACAGCTCGTGTCGGAGCGGGAGTGGGCATGAGGTAGCTTTGCCCCATTATGGTAATAATACTTGCAACCCCCCCGCGGCATCACCCCGCGCACCCATGCCACCACACCTGCGATCAGGCGGGGCCGGATCACCCAGTTGCTCCATGGCGTCGGACCTCGGTACTCCGGACCGGGCATGGCAGGGAGGCTGGGCAGCCCCAGGTCCATGGCGGGCCTCCCTTCCTGAAAGGGATGGACGTGTTCCTTTATTCCACCGGTGGGCTTGGCTTTGTGACGCGAGGCTGGGCGGTCATGAATGCTGGTCCCAGTTGTTCTGGCACGGCCAGGGGACCTAGTACGATGTCGCGATCGTCGGCGTGCTCCAGCTCACAGATCTGTATGTCTGCGAATGAAACGCAACCGTGGCCTCCTTCCAACTCCACTACCTGGTGGTGCGAAGATCCGAGGTGAGCCCGGCAACTCCGAAGTCCCATGCCGCCAGATCCAGGCTCCCGCGCAACCTGCCTCGGGCCTCCCGACCTCCCATGCATCCGCGCCCGGACGGGCAAGCTCTGACGACCGCTGGTCGATAAGCAAGGGCGCGCGAAGGCGACCTCCCTGCCGAGCAAGCGTGGAACTATGATCCAGTAATGCCGTCAAATAACTAATTACCAGCTGCATCCTCTTTCGGACTCACTGTTGACGTCGCTGTCAAGTCGCCTGTGGTTGAGTAGCGCGTACGAACCTGGCTTGCGGCCTCAGCCAGAAGCAATGAGGGTATGGGCTGTGAGCGATGTACACACGGACTACAAGGATAACATGGCATGGTACGAGGCGGGCCGCAGCGCTTCAGGGATTCGGGAGCGTCCGGGGCCTGCCCATGCATGGCCGCGGGATTTTTCACGGACACAACTTGGGCCCCGCCCCTGTCGACCGCCACTTCCTTCTGATTAACCTTGTACAGGGCGGAGCAGCTTTGCAGCTCGCGCGAGACCCGGGAGGATACCCTAATCGTGGCAGGGGATGTGTCCGACGACCTGCCCACCTTCCGACGCACCATGGAGCTGCTCACCCGCGCCTACGCCCACGTCTTCTTCGTCCCTGGCAACCACGACCTGTGGTGCCGCAAGGCGGAGCGGGACATCCGGGACTCCCTGGGCAAGCTGGCCCTGCTGGAGGGCGCCTGCGCCGAGCTGGGGGTTTACACCCAGCCTGCCTGCGTGGGCGGGGTCTGGGTGGTGCCGCTCCTGTCCTGGTACCACGCCTCCTGGGACCGGGAGCCGGACCTGCCGGGCGCCACGCCCATCGAAAAGGTGACTACGGTGGGATTTTGTGCCTGCGACCAGCGTGTGGGCTCGATGATGTGTTCGGGGAGATGCTGCAGCGGGAGGCCCCCACTCCCTC